CCAGACACTGCTATAGGCAGCGGGGATTCAGCAGCGCTCAGGACTGACAAGGACCCTGACCCCTTGAAGCAAATGCTGGGCAGAGAGTGGGCTGGACCAGGAGGCAGCTGGGTGCTGGGTGGGAGTTTGAGGAGTAGAGGGGAGACCACCCGGCAAAGAAAGCAAGAGAGTCAGCGTCTGACTCCATTGTCTGGGGGTGAGGATTTCAGGCAGGGGAGTGACAGACCGATTTGAAGGCTCCCACTGGCTGCTGGTTGAGAGGAACCTACGGCGGGGAGTGGGGGTTGGCCAGTGGTAAGGGGGACCTCAGATGGACAGCTGTTCCAGGGATCCAGACCCGAGGTTTGGTGACGTTTCTCCTTCTGCACGTACGCCGCAGGGAGCTGAGGCACACCACCACCAGATGGACCTCGGAGGGGTTCTGGAGTCTGTGTGGGTGTGTAGGGCATGACGTCTAGGGGAGCCCCCTACCAGCGAGTCGGTTCTGGTGTATCATGGACCTATTTAGGGTCTCCGAGACTATAGCTCTTTACTGGAGTAGGCAGCCTCAACGGTCTCCCTCGGGAACGGCTGGGGGGTTTGAACCACTGACCGTTCAGGGTCTGAGCAAGAACATTCCCCCTCCAGCCCCACTCCACAGGCTGTCCCCGTGTGAGGTTCCCTTGGGCTCATGGCTCAGCCCTCAGTTCAGGCAGCTATTGGGAATTCCTTAGGTGTGGGAGGGAGGGAGAGAGAGACCTGAAATGCCCACGGGCCTTGCTTTCAGACAGCCAACCAGCTGCTGGAATAACCGGCCACTTGAGGCTCGGTCCAGTCGAGTGATCGCCAGTCCCCAAAGTCAAGGGCTCCTGCTCTCAGTGAGGTAGTGAGTTCTCAGAGGCAGGGTGCTGTGGGGGACGGGGTGGGGGGTACCTTGCCAGGGCCCTCCCAGCCCTGAGATTCTTGGGCTTCTGCCCTGGCCCTGCGGGCTGTGGACCCCCGGCCTCCGGTTATGACCAGCTGCTCTGTCCTTGAAGGGAAAACTTGTATGGCGAACTGGAAGACGAGATCACCTCCTGCAGCCTCCGCCTGTCCACCCACAACGGCACGCACGCCTGGTACACGTGCCACATGGATGTGTCCAGCTTCATGGCCGATGATGTGTTCAGTGTCAACATGACCGGCCAGTCGGGCAGAGGCTCCTGGGAGTGTGGCAGCTTTATCCTGGCTAAAAGCAGTGAGTGTCCCTTTGGCCCCAGAGCCCGGAGGTCTGGGTGGGGCCCGGACCTGTCTTCTTGGCCTTCTAGGCGCGTTCCAATCCTCCACTCTGCCGGCAGCACCTCCGAGCCTCCAAGCCCTGCTCCTTGTTAGCAAGGCAATTGACCAGATACATTACTTTTTGCTAAGGTGTGAAGGTTTGATAGATGACGTTGGGACCTTAGCCCAAAGGCAAGTAGCAGAGGTGTAGAAAGGAGCTGCGCTGAGACCTAGGGCTTATGGGCTTCGGTCTCAACTCAGCCCCTCCCTGCCTCTGTGACCTGAGACAAGCCAGGCCCTACCTCTGGGACTCAGTTTCCCCATCTGTAGAATGACGGTCCTTTTAACCATGATCCTCCAAGATGCTGACCCCAAGATGAGGCAAGTGGAAAACATAGAGACACAGTGGCGAACCATCTGAGAGTGCCCCCCACCCCCTTAGCTCCATGAGACCTGGAATCTCCCTCCAGGCTAAAGGGAAGGAGGCCCCTAAGGGGCAGGCACATAGGGGGAGGCAGTTCTGGATCAGAGAAGGGCCTGGGAGCAGCTTTTACTCATGGGCTCATGCACACATCCGGAGGCCGGAGTGTAGGGAGTGGGGTGGGAGGTCCTTGTCCCCAAAGCATGCCAACTTCACGTACTGTGGAGAGTCATGCCTGCGCCCATCATGCCTGCCCCCAAGTTTGGGAGTTTCTGTCCTTGGTGGGGTATGAGGGATCACTGATTTACATTGGGGGAGGGCAGGGCTGCACTACAGGGGGTGTGAGTAAAACCACACACACACACACACTCAAACCCCAGACCAGACACACGGATACAGCGACTTAATGCGTACGCTCCATCCCACACCCGGAGCGCAGTCACACACACTGACACAAACACACACACATGCACTCTCTCTCACACACTCATGCACTCACCGACACACGCACTCTCACATGCACTCTCACACACACACTCTCACACACACACTCTCACACACTCATGCACTCTCTCACACTCACACACATACACACACACACACACACACACTCACAGACGTGGTGCTGCCCCTCTGCCCCTCGTACACCACACACCCAGACCTGTCGGCTCTGGCCTTGGGCGTGCCCGGGAGCTCCTGCAGCATCTGGAACCAGCGGAAAGGGGCGGCGGTGAGGATCCTGTTTGTTTGGACGAGTAGCTAGGGTTGGACGCTTGGTGTGGAACCTGCATGTCAGACGGTCCAGGCGCTGTTTTACCGCCTTGAAGCCAGAGCTGATGGCGCCCCTCCTCTAACTCAGAGGGTCTTGGTTTTCCCTGGCCCCAGCAGGTTGACATGGGCGTTTTCAACCCCAATATAATCCAAGTCTCTCATTTTCCAGATGAGCCCAGAGGTGGGGGGCTGGGAGTGGGGTCCTCTGTCCCAAGGCCTGATCTCCTAAGTCAGGGGTCACCAAACCCTGTTCACCTGACACCTCGTCTCACCTGGTTTTTATAATGTCCCGCTTTTCCCTCTACAGTCAAGCCGTCTCCCCCTTTCAACGTAACCGTGATCTTCTCAGGACATTACAACGTCTCCTGGAGTTCGGATTACGATGACCCTGGCTCCCCTGCGTTGAAGGGCAGGCTTCAATACCAGCTGCAGTACAGGGACAGGGCGGACCCCTGGGCGAAGGTGAGGAAGGCCACCCCCCACCCCGCATGGCCCAACCCTGGGAGAAGGGTGAGTAGGAGGAGGGAGGGCGGGTCATCCAGGCTGGAGGGGGCCAGACTGAGAGACAGGTGACCTTTGTAGCTTATGCCAAGAATAGATACCAAAGACACGCATGCCAAGGGGTCTCCCCACTCCCAGCGAAGTCTCCCTTGGCTGGCCTACCCCACCCTCCACCTGGGGCCTAGGGGCCCTGTCCTTTTCACCTTCTCAGCCCTGCCCCCAACCCCCCCCCCCAGGCCCGCACTCCTAGAGGAAGGCCATGTGGTACCCACCTTCCACCTCAAGCCCAGGACTGCCACACAAGCGGGCACTTCCAAAGTCAACGGGGGCCAGCCAGAACCTTCCCATGTCCTTAGTATGGCCATAGTTGGAAAGTTCTAGAAGCACCAGTCATGAAACGGCCCACTCTTGGAGGACCCACTGTTTCAAATGGGGGGACTCGGAGGGGCAGCCTTTGTTCGGCCAGTCCGCTGTTGGGGTCCTAGGATGACCCCTTGTGTACAATAGCCACCCCTGAAAGGGCTAGAACCAGCTGTCCTGTGCCATGGTTAGACTCTCCCTCATGGCAAGACAACCAGGGGTGTCCTCCGCCAAGAGGTCTCCCGTGGAAAGACTTCTAGACGCACCCATGTTGAGTAGGTCTCTGTTGAGCCCCACTCCTCACCCCCCGCCCAGTGTTTAGAAGGGTTCCGTGAGAGAGACTAGCTCCTGGGAGCTGGGCCGGGAGAGGTGGTTGTTCTGGGGGCAGGGGACTGGCCCAGCTGAATGCTGACCCCGTGCATCCTTCCCATCGGCTGGCAGCATCCGGGGAGAAAACTGGTCTCCGTGGACACGAGAAGCGTCTCCCTCCTGCCCCTGGAGTTCCACAGAGGATCGAGCTACGAGGTGCAGGTCCGGGCAGGGCCCCAGCCCGACTCCTTCTTCCAGGGGACCTGGAGTGCTTGGAGCGATCCGGCCATCTTTGAGACCCAGCCAGCGGGTAGGTGTGGCGTCCGGATGGACATCCCCCTCCTAGTCCCAGCCTTGCCTCAGTCCGTCCACCGGGCCCTGCGATGCCTGTGTGGCTGGGAGGCTTTCAGGAGGCTGCAGCTGGTACAACCATCTCTTCTGCAATTCAGCCACGTTTCTAAAGTCCCTGCCTGCTGGACCCCCACATTGGGTGCTAGGTGCTTCTCCTCCCAGGGCAGTTGATCCTCTTGATAAATGAAGGGAGACCTGCCATCCCCCTTCTGCAGATGAGGAAACAGACGGAGGCTCAGAGAAATGAAGTCGCTTGTCTGGAATGGGGGTGGGGTAGGGGAGCAGAATTTGAACCCAGATCTAGGTGCCTTCAAGGCCCTACCCATCATTCGTAGCCTCCTCCTCAGCCCTCAGCCCCAGTCTCCCCCTCCACACTGCCCACGTGGCCGACACGAGCCCTCACCAGCCTGTCCTTTGCTTCCTTCCCAGAGATAGAGCTGGGGACCCGAGGGCAGCACTTCAGCCTTCTGCTCCTCCTTGTCGCCGCCCCTGTCCTTGTCTTCTTGGGTCTGCGGTACCACCTGCCTTGGAGGTGAGGCCAGCAGTCAGGAAGGGGTCTGGGCCATGGCCCCCTCCCCCAACCCACCCCTGGGCTGCAGGGGCACCAGGGCTATTGGGTGGGCAGGGAGGATCGGTGGGATCATCTAGACCCACACACCCCATCCGCCTCAACCACAGAGGCTTTCCTCCGCTTGGGATGTCCGCTGAACATGGCCATGGGACGTGGTTCACACTGTCGACAAGTCCTTTGTAAAGCCCGCTGGTGCCGCTGGCTGGAGCAAAACCCAAGGCTGCAGCGTCTCAGGCCTTAGTTGTACAGTTTCCTCCAGAGACCCAGCAGAGAGATGCACGGCCAGGGATTCGGGTGCTGGCAGGAAGTGAGGCTCTGGAGCATTCTAGGTGCCAGGTGCCGACCTCTGCTCTGCCCTGGGGGATGGGTGCATGCCATCCTGGCTGGCGAGGGGGGAGCTGAGGCTCAGAAGGGGCAGTGCGGCCCAGCTGGCCAAGCCCCTACACCAGGTGCAGCTCTAGAAACCTACAAAGCAGCTGAGGCCCCGGGAGAGGAGAGAGGTGCTGGGTGGTATGTCTCGGGATGGAGGGAGGGGGACGTCCAACAGGAGGTGGGGTGGGGCCTCATCGTCTCTGCTCTCCCAGGTTGTGGAAGAAATTGTGGGTGCAGGTGCCCAGCCCAGAATGGTTCTTCCAGCCCCTGTACACGGGCCACAGAGGAGACTTCAAGGTGAGAAGCCCTGTCCCCAGCCTCCAACCTCGGTCGGGCCTCAAGAGGTCAGTCTCCTCTTTGCCTGCTGTGATGTGCAGGGCGTCGATCCTGGGACAGCGCAGACCTTCAGCACAGAGTCACCCACACTCAGGGCCCCACTCCAGGCCTCCTGACTCTCCCTTAGATGCCCTTGATGGGGGAGGGAGGGCAGAGAGGAGGAGGGCCAGGGGAAGGTTTGATCTTGCCTCCCACCTGCTGCACCCACAGAGTTATCTGTGCCCATTTCCTGCTCTGCCATCAGGCATGGCGGGAGGGGCCGCTGC